CAGGAATGTTCCATTTTACAGAGCTGTGTTTGGAGGAGAGACTGTGGAGCAAAAAGACAAGGCATATAAGCCCATCATAAACTTCTGTATTACTCTCCAGGAAAGCAGGACTGCCCAGCTATTACCAAGCACAATGATGCTGTTTATTTCTTAAAAACTGCATTCCTCTTCTCCTGCAAGAACCACTGACCCATTTCACTGCTAAAGGATTATATAAACAGTGCTTTTCTTCTCACGTGTTCTCCACCCCCAGTTTCAGGCTGGTTTTGGAAGCTGTGAAATTACATGAGTGAAATGTCTCCTCTCCTCCTTAGTGGGTACTCGGCCCTTTCTTCTGCCCCTTTGGCCAGCGGCTGCAGCTGACAGCAGGGTGCTCGGGTACCGCGCTCCCGAGCCCAGGGGGGCTGCACGCCATCCCCTGGGGCTTTCATCCACAGCAGCCTCTTCCTTAACCGGAGCCAGCCAGCCAGCGCTTCAGCCACTGCACACCAATTTATGCTTCTGCCTTAATGGACAACAACCTCCTTGACCCGCGAGCACCTCCCGATGCTGGGTGGGATCGATGATGGGCCCAGGTCTGCGGTGGCAGCGATGGAGTCGCAGAGTGGGCAGCATGGTCGGTCCCCGCGGCTGTCTGCAGGGCCGTATGGCCAGGAAGCATCGGGCCACATGTCTCTAACTCCTGCTGGTCCCTGGGTAGGAGGGGGGCAGTGGAGCTGCAGTCCCGGTGGGATTCGTGTGTCTATGTGTTATGTGACTGCAACTTCGCAGGAGCAGGGCTCAAAGTCCAACTCTCCTTCAGGGATGTCCCAAATGCCTCGCAGAGCCAAGGCACCTGGAGCACTCTCATGCTTTCTCAAGGACTCCACCAGTGTTAGCCTCACCAGTGTCTGCATGTGAAAAACCCAGTCAGCTGGAATGTGTTTCTTGCACACCTGCTTCACGATGAATTTACTTTTCCAGGCTAGATGAAGCTTTAGGAATATCTGAAGCACAAGAGAGGCATTGCCATGAGGTTGAGTTCACGTGAGGTGGGTCTAACGGGAGGGTGTGTTCATGTACTGCTCCACTGGCCCGGAGCTAAAATAATCAAATCATTGTAAAGAACATGGACACTGTGTGATCACTGATGTTGTTTCCTCACAGATGTTGAAGTCCCTAGGCAATGGGACTGTAAAGGCTTTTCTTTTTTTTTTTTTTTTTCCTGGAATACGCATGCTTCACACATATTCTGCAGTGCAAATTCCTGTTTAGTTACTTGGAAGGAGATCAAATTCCCTCTTCTTAAGATACTCAGTGATCTTGTCAGCAAATAATAACAGTTTCATTAACTAAAAACCTCCCCACCCTGCTCTCCTCCACCCTCCTTCCAGCAAAAGTACCTAGGTGATGAATAACAGTCATAAAAAACTATTGTTCACACATTAAATGCACAGGCAGCACAGCAAGAATGCAAACCAGTGGATAAATGTGAATGAACAGTGGCTCTGGGGCAGCTCTTGATATTCCTGCAGTCACAGGGTGCTGGGATCCCCCAGAAAGCATGGCTCAGGATAAAGACATGAAGATGACACCCAATGGAGCTTCACTCCCCCAGAGCCCAGCGGAACATCACTGCAGCTGGAAGACAGTGGTGGCCTCTCAAAACTCTCCCAAGTCCAGTTCCTGGCTCTTTGTTTGTTCTTAAAGGGGGAAGAAGAATTGAGGTGGACTGCTTCAGACTCCAAAGGAGGTACAGAGACCTGAGGTTTTCACAGCAAGAGTCTGCCTGCCTAGCTGCGCCCTAGGAAAATTCAGAGTAGTGTAGAGCCAGCTCCAAGCAAAACAGCTCATTTGCACTGAATCCAGGTGCTTTATGCATTTACCATTATATTTAAACTTCTCTATCACATCCCACGTTCCATGAACATACTGCTCACTGGGAGAGACCGTGGACCAGGCTCCTCTGCAGGCACTGCAGGTGTGGATGTACCAGGGGCCTGCAGGCTCTCGATGTGTGACCTACTAAACATCTGTAGGAATCTGGGCTGCCAGTTTTTTTAAAACAAAGTTAACGTATGAGATCTGAAACAAATATTTATTTTTTTAAAAAAATCTGACAATAAAAGGTTTCATCAAAAGTAAGATAAATTTAAAAGATCAGGATAACATCAGCCACCGTAGTTTCAATCTACGAAATAACCGAAACCAGCATCTGTGCATTAAAAGTCTGTGGTTTGTTAGCAAGGAGTAACCACAGAAATCTGTGTACAAAGGAGTAATGGTGGCAGACCATGAAACATGCTAGATCTGAATGTTTTGATAATGTTCAAAGAGCAAAGACATAATTCAGTCTAACTAATGAGTCTGCACGCAGCCTATGAGTATCTAATGGGTTGACACAACAAATGTAATTAGTTTGTAAGTTCCTGAGGGCAAGCACAGGTCCGAGCGATCTCACTTACATCAGGAATAGCTGTACCAAAGGGAATTAGTCACAAGGCCAGAGGGAGTATGTGGATTATCTGCGTGATCTTCTACCTACCTCAGGTCAGAGAACTCCCCTGACCTAATTCACTCCCATTTGAACTAAGGCATCTATTTGAGAAAAAGACGTTTTGGCGTAAAATATTCAGCACTGAAGAACCAGCCACAGACCTTAGCATGCTCTTCTACTGCTTAAGTACCCACACCGTCAATTATTATTGTTTTTTGCCCTGAGTCTGAATCTGCCAAGTTTCATCCTGCAGCCTTTTAATCTCACGATGCCTTACTCTGCGAAGGGGAAGAGCTCTCTGCTGCCAAATGCCTTTTTCCCTGCTTAAGGCTAGGTCCAAGTACATACGAGTTGTGTGCCTGCCCCTGC